ATAAATAAATAAAAATAAATAAATAAAAAATAAATAAATAAAAAATAAATAAATAAAAAATAAATAAAAAAAGTTGATTGATATCGCAATCGCACGCGCGGGAATGATTACGTTCTGCGAGTCTTACCAGAGCGGCGTAGTTGCCTCCAGTCCACGTCTCTAGTAGCTCGCCCGCATTGACGAGGATGGCGCCAGGGAGATGGCCCACGCGGCCCCAGCGGCGGTTAGGCAGCTGCACCTGCCAGCAGAGCGAAAGCCGTATTTCACTTCAAGCGCCCCAAAGCGTGGGAGATGAAAGCGATCTACGTGTAACGAACTGAAACAGGAGTACAAAGAAATAGATTATGCCAAGAAGGTAAAAACGTTGCTGGCGAACTCAGATCTTTACAAAAAGCAAAAGAAACCTTAACAGGAATAATTTTCATTATGGAATTTATTACAAATTACTTAATATGGTTTTAAGGACGAACTATTATTTACATCAGATTATTTAAGCATTTATGCATATGTTTTCAGAAACTTTCAAGAAGAGCTCTTCATTTTTCTTCGTCTTCTCACTCTGATGCTTTCTTCACCTAGTCTCAGCTTTTTCGAATGCGTAGGCTTCAGTACTGCAGTACGCTCTGAAGAAGGCCAAAAAAACGCTGGCCGAAACGTTAGCCACCATGTCAGTGAGGCGGCTCGTCCCGGATAGCCGAGATAATTTAGCTTTTTCGAATTTGGAAACTGTTGTATTACCACCTCTTATCAACCGAAACGCTTCGAAGAGATTTTGTATGATTGAGCAAAACGGAACCCAATTACATGTGCTTTTTATTTCCTTGAAATATAATGTAGCTGAACATTATAGTAATTTATCCCTAATCATCGAACGTTGTATTCTACCCAAAAGGTACGGGAACTAATTTCTTTTCAAACTATCATTCTGTTTATATACATATTTGATGAACGACATAAAAAAAGCAACGATGCCTGTCTAAGGATTGTTTGCCAGAGCACTAATTGCCTTGGCAGCAATAGAAACACATGCATTTCACTAACAAGATATCAAGGGAAAATTGCATGAATGAAGATGCATGACTGCAAGCATGCATGAAGATAAGAATGTCGATCGGTTTCCCAGAGACTTACCAAGGTCAATTAACGATAACAATCAGTCGGAAAATAGAACATAGTAGATTGTGGTACAAGGATTGAAAGTGTTACATTACGAGACGAGATGTATCCAGCTGAGACCGAGACTGAGAAGCCGAGACGAATTTTGCAACAAGTAATTTAACACTTCCGTCCGTGTTTTATAACCTCTTTTTTATTAATTTAATTTTAATTAAATTCTGCGACCTGCCTTCACGACGTACCACTGACAAAAAAGCCTTCTAGATTCTTCTTACCTAGAAAATAATTACCGTGCTATGACATTAAAACGGAGATTCACAGGCTATAGTACAGAAATTAAAAGAATGATTCAAATAATTAATACCTCGTAAGAAAGAAGACCTGTCTTTTTTTACTTCCTACGTACGTACTTTTACTTACTACATACGTGCGTGCGTACGTACGTATGTGCGTATGCACATACGGAGTTAATATAGGTAATATAGAGCAACATATGTATAGCAGCTGAAAATTGATTCTTTCTGACTTTAACAGAAATACACGTTTTGAGGCCCCCTTCACCAAAAAAGTGCTGTTTGAAAGTGTCCGTCTCTATCTCTCTCTGTATGTCTGTCTCTCTCTCTGTCTGCTATCATCACTAGCGCCTAAACCTTTCGTAGGATTTTGATTCCAAAATGAATATTACCCGTTCGATCTGCTCTCACTCGAAGCACTGCGATTTTGAAAATAATATTTTAAAATTTTGGGTGTACTTTACTGGGAAGCTACTGTGACATTTTGAAAATTGTCAAAAATTCAATATTAAAAAAAATCTTGCAAAATTACAATTAATTGCACTAACGAAAATGGCATAAGTCCGATTTTTTCTGTTAACTCTGTTAACTTTATTTCTTGCTGTTAAATTAATAACATTTCATATTTTTTAACCTCCTCGAACAACTATTTTATTGAAGATAGAGATGTTTTCAAATGAAATTAATTTAATGATTTTTAACTATATTTTTTTTAAATTACGCAAATGCAAGAGCCAATATCTGAGTTACAGAGAATAGCAAAAATGCTGATGCTACTCGACATAAAAAAATCAGAGAAAAAAATGTTAATAAATCGTGGGGAGACTAGTGAACGTATCAAACAATTAACAAGGTACAGATGAACAAACGTTAATAATTTGCCTGGCTTAAAAGGCGAGGAATATAGCCTGAATCGGAAATAAAGATAATATTAGTTATCGAAGATCAGGCATTCAGAACATGCCATTATGATTCGTCAATTTCCCAGCGAGATATGTTCAGTATTTGCCAGGATAAAGTAGAATCCATTGATCATATCGTCTGAATTTAACGAATTCTAAGTTCCAATACAAGAAAAATCTCGATAGGTTCTCTAGTTACCGCCAATGGCATTTAAGTAACTAGCCCTCGAAGTTGTAAACACTTGTCCGAAGTAGTACGAACTCTCAGAAATACGTGTGGTGTCTGTTCGGCTGTACACAATAATATATACAGATCCGTACTGATAACATAATTGTAATCCGGGATTTAGAGAATATGTTGTCTACTTGTAAATGTGTTGTAGAGCCACGCTATCAGAATGTCGTAACCAATGAGGCAGAGAAACGTCATAAATACAAGACTTTGGAAACCAAGATCAAGTGGATGAGTAACGTAAAATTGCAGGACGGACTTTTAGTTATCGGAGCATTGGGATTTGTTCCGCAAAATGTTCGTAAGTACTTGTACGAAATCCCAGGAATTGCAAGAGGGAAGACGTCGTGGTTTTGAGAACTACCTGTAACGTTTTGTAGATCTACCTGTAACCAATATATCTGCTTCTGCAAGATTGTTGCAAGGTGGAATGGAATTTATACTCGTATATAACCGGTACCATATTAACTCGTGAATTTGCGTAATAATAATAATAATAATAATAATAATAATAATAATAATGCCAATCTGATGGCAGAGATCGCTAAGGCAGTAGTGCCGTTGTGGTTTCCGACCAGAAGATCGCGGGTTCGAACCCCGCCTCGGACTTGGGTGTACTTGTGTATGTCTGTATGAGTGTGTCGTCCTTTCACTCATTATCATCATCATTATCAATTCATCATCCATACCACCAGGGCTAACAACCATTGGGAATAAAAAATCAGACTCTGCTAAATGCTGGTCCCCAATTAAAGTTACATGAACTTGCCACCGTTATAATGATAGTACTGAGCCACGGTAAATGCAGGGTGCATGCATGCGTGGTCCTAGTCGGCCTATTCGCGAGAAAAATATAATAATAATAGTAGTAATAATAATAATAATAATAATAATAATAATAATAATAATAATGTCGGTCCCGAGCGCAGACGGTTGCGGCGGCCGTCGTCTGTGCCGAGGAGGCTGCAGGTTCGAGTCCTGCGTAGACCTGGTTATTTTGTGATTGTCCCTTCAACGCTATCTCTCCCTCTCTCCTCTCGCTCGTATTGCATCATCACACTTCAAGGCGTTAACAACCTTGTTGGTAAATCTAAGGATAAGCTGAAAAGCCTGATCCTGGAAGGAATTGCACACGTTTAATGTTAGCGTGGTCAGTAATGGCTATACGCCAATAATAATAATAATAATAATAATAATAATAATAATAATAATAATAATAATAATAATAAAAGCTATATGTTGTAACTCTTAAGGCAATGAAAACCGTTGTAAGTAGCCTGGATGAGAGCAAGTCGCATGTTATTTTCATGCAGAGTGTTGTGTTTGACATCCCGTGCGGGGCCCTGGCGCGCCGAGCCGAGGCGCTGCTTATCGCTGGGAGGAGCGGGGCGTCGGCCCTCGACCTCCAGAGCGCGCGCGCGTTGCCGGGTGCCGCCGAATGGCCTTCCGCACCGTCCACGCACGGCCCCTGCTTGCCACCACCCGCAACCACGAGCAGGGCAATGGTGCTGTCGCGTCACGACAATGATGCGGATGGAAGGATTCGAGAACAGAGTCGGTGCATGCAGAACGAATACGAAGATTTGGGCTGCTGTCCTACACCCTTGTTTGGTTCCCCCAACTATATCCCGCACCCGAAGACGCAATGTGTCTATTGTCTTGTGAAATTAAGAAAGAAGATATGAACATGATATTGGTTAAGTCACAAAATTTGTTTTCTAAGACATTTCTTTTCTTGTAATATAGTACGATATAAATTCTTCACCGCAAGTGTCTATGGTTGTCACAAGATACTAAATTGACTTCACAATTGCATGACGTACATATATTTTATCCACTTGGGTTAGGTAATGTGAAATATTATGCTATTATCAGTTTCGTAATGAAGTACTTTACCGCTCTAGTGTGGTAATGGCATACGAGTAGGGTTATTCTGAGACGAGCAGTATTCCATGGTCTACTATTGAGAACAACAATAATTATTTAAATAATTGATTATGAAAATAACTTTTAACAATTTTTCAAATAATAACATTAATATGTTTTAATTATTATATACATTAACAACAAATTTCTTGCAATTGCAAAAAATACTCTTCAGAATAGAAAAGTGGGTCCAGCAACAACTCGGTTTTTCCTTTTCTGCCTTGACGGAAAAGTAAGCCATTAAAACTTTTTCTGATATGCAATAAACGATTTTGTTTTCACACCAATCCTTAAAACTTGAGTACTCACGCTCATATTTCTTCTTTGATTTGTATGGTAACAAAGCATCTATAGCAGCATTTGCTGCTATTTATTTTTCTGAGTCTGAACTGCATTCGCTATTGTCAAAATATGTACACCATGCGCGTTTCAATTGTTATCCTAGTTAAGAACAGTGTCGCCACTTAAAGGGGAAAAATGTGAATACTAAATGAAAATTTTAATCTTAAATCTAACAAATTTTTACAAAGTGGATAAAACGTTGGACGATATTCGTGTCGCAACATCTGATTACAAAACTCAATTTTCCAATCTCGTATTGTAATCCGATGTATTACGACACTAATATTGTAAATAACTATTACTGTTCATAACTTTTTTCGTATATCCAATGGTAGATTTTACGAGGCCTTTTAAAGGCATTTTTTCTGGAGGTGTGGTCAGAAGATTTAAGGATATGTAAATTTGTAGGTATAAATGGATTTCAACA